TAATTCTTCACCAATGAACCGGGTGGCGGTGGTGCGGCCTAAGTGAGTAATGAGTAGTAAAAACTTAGTCAAAATTATTACCTAATTGAAATTGTGATGTTAAACCGCTATTCAAATATTTTAAAAGTCCATATTCACTAAGTTATATTTCACGAAGCGTATAGTAATTTTCTATTATATATGTTGAAGTACAGTAAAATATTGTTATTTTTGTTAACCTTTCAGGCTTCTTTTCTCGTGTACCTATGTTTTTTCTGTAAGAAAAAAAAATCATTCCAAATTTGCCTCCTCTCGCTTAGTACCATGATTGAATTTAACTAATTATATGTAAAATTTCATTTCTTTACACTCAATTATCGAACACAGCGCTCCACACGCTGGCAGAATGCCCGGCGTGCGTGGAGCAGAGGCGTGGCCTCGTGGCGGCCATCAGAGTGGGAATTCTTTTGCTCGGTAACATGATTGCCGCCATGGTACGGAGCGAGAGCGCGTTGAACTCCGCCGTCTCCTTCTGCGAGCAAGTTATGCTTGCGAAGGAGACGGCGGAGCGGTCCGTCAGGCCCGGTACCGTAGGAGACTCAGGCGCCTAGCAAAAGCAGCCCGGGTAGGCGGTGCGACGCGCTGTGGAGCGCGCGCGCCCTTTAGGTTGTAGAAGGGGAACACCGTGGTTCCCACACACGAGGGGGTCACCTACAAGCCGTAGATGGCCCGGGGTACGTCGGGGTTCCAAGGATTTCCTTCCTAGGGTACACCTGGTTCCCCGGCTACTGGTACCCGAGACGGCGTGCGGTTTTTGGTCGGTTCATGTCCGACATAACTACCGAAGCTATTGCCGTACAGACAAAAAAAAAGAGTAAATTTGCTGCTCCGGCCTGGTTGTAAATTCGCCTCTGGCCTAAGAGATTACCCGCAGTCAATTTACTTGGAAAACCGTCAAAAGTAACCGCCACCACATCAGCACCTGAATCGTACCATTTACTTATAGTATGCAAGTATTAATTAAATTTACTCGTGTTTTAGCTGAAAAAGTTTTAATAAAAAAATAGCCTATTGGCATTTTCCAGCTTTCATTCAAACCCACTAAAAGGAAAACGTACACTTGTGTTGCGATTTTGATATTTGGACTAAAATTAATACCAAAATCCTGAGTGCGGGGGGATACTTTCCTTTTTTAAATATATTATATTTATTAATCTAGGACTAGGGCTTTTAAATTGAGTTATAATCTTTTAGTATAACTGTTACGCTGGCAACTCTCTTCTTCAATCTTTTGTTTTGTTGAGTTAGTATTTTCTTTCTTTTTTTTTAACTGTTGTCGTTGAAATATTAATTGACGCACGAATTTCTTAAGTGCCGCCTTTTTAGGCGTCTTAAAAATATCTTGGTCCACAATAACGTATCCCGACCTACCTCGGGCCATCTACGGTGTGACCCACTCCTGTGTGGGAACCCCTATGTAACCTTTGTGTTCTCGAAAGGGTGCGCGCACTCCGCAGCGCGTCTCACCACCACCTCGGCCTGCTTCTGCTAGGGTGACAGATGGCCTCACCTACCGCCTACAGGCCTGCGCTTATGGAGGACGGAGGTCGTTCCGCGACCTCTGGCGCCTGAGTCGTCGGCAGTACGCGGCCCGTTCCCGGGCCTGGTGGGCCGGGAGAGATCAAAATCTCTTCCGGTCCCGCTTCACGCAGAAAGAGACGGCGGAGTTCGACTCACTCTCGCTCCGTATTGGCGACAATCATGTTACCGAGCAAAAGAATTCCCACTGCGATGGCTGCCACGAGGCCACGCCCTGCTCCACGCACGCCGGGCATTCTGCGAGCGTTATATATATCTGCTGATTGTTATATTGGTAAATTTTATATTGGTAAATTTTCTTATATTGACGGCCGCTTTTTGTAGCAATCCGAATTCGATAATTGAGTGTAAAGAAATGAAATTTTACATGTGAATAGTTAAATTAAAGCACTAATTGTTGGAATAGGTTTTTTTACGCATTTCCTTTAGAATCTCATGCAATAAGACTGCATTTGAAACAGTGGTTCAGTCATGCTAAATTATCCCATAGCTCATTAATTACTAAGAGTACATCAATGATACTTGGCAAGACGTTGTAGATGTTTACAAGGTAGGTATGTATTAACGGTTTAAACTAGACCCTAGCGCATAAGTATTAAGTACAAGTACTTTACGTATTTGTACTTACGTTTACGTATTTGTACTTACGTTTACGTATTTGTACTTACGTTTACGTACTTGTACTTACGTTTACGTACTTACGTTGCTTTATGTTTTTATTTTTATCTTCACAATGTTTTTTTTTAAATACGTTTTTCCAAACAGTATAAACAAATTCAAAACAAGGTATAAAAAAATTTACAGCTCTAGAAAACGTTTTATATGAAATCTAGCAAACGTTGTCGGAGCGGAAACTTGAATATCTTCGCAGTTTATTGACACAAAAAATGCATTTTTAGACATAGGTACACAATTACCTCACGTCATACACAATTTTTGAAACCACTTATTTATTCTACGTTCATAAAAAAAGTTCTGCTGAGACATATTTGTCCCAGCGGATACAGTTTTTCGTGAGTAACTCGCCAATGGTTAGAAAACAATTACACGACATCATACACTAAACATCTGTTAAACTCAAATAATGAAATTTGAGTTTAACGTAAAGCTAACTCTACGAAAGGTGTATTTTGTAAATTGGCCAAGTCTTTCAATAGGCTGTTCAGCCAAGGCCGTCTTAGGCTATGCTGGGGCCCCTGAGCACACAAGAATTTGTCCTCTGTTGGACAGTAAAATTTTAGCTGTGAAAGTGAGCGCTCTGCACTACAATTGGTAACCATAAAGCAAATAAACATTCTAGTAGTAATTTCAATATTTGAGAAAAGTGTCTTCTAATTATGTAAGTTTGAGCTACTCAAATCCGCTGATTTCTTTGCTTTGTTCTTTAAATGCTTCCTTAAATAAAAACATTCTGATTTGAGCTCATATGCATTGAGGTCTTGGTGATAGAATTCTTTAAACCGTTGTCCGGAACTCCTGGAAGGTAGCGTTTGTACACCCGATCCATAAAAAGGTGAGCGCTCTGACCCGTCCAACTACAGGCCAATAGCCATAACTCCTTTGTTCTCTAAGATTATGGAATCCATAATCAATAGCCAGTTCCTCCGGTATTTAGATGATCACCAGCTTGAGTAGCTGTAGTTGACCGACAATATGGTTTTCGCCGGGGTCGCTCAGCTGGTGATCTTCTCGTTTTTCTACACAGGCGATCGAGACCAAAGGTGAGGCTTGTGCGTTTAGTTTAGACATAGCGAAGGCCTTCGATCGGGTCAGACTTCTCTCGAAGCTTCCTTTTTTTGGGCTTCCCGAGAAATTGTGTAATTGGGTCACCTGTTTCCTTGCGGACAGAAGCGTTAAGGTCGTTGTCGACGGTGCATGCTCCGACTTGAAATTCGTAAATGCTGGTGTGCCACAAGGCTGTGTGCTATCACCCACACTGTTTCTTCTGTATATCAATGACATGTTGCAAACTAGTAGCATCCATTGCTATGCAGATGATAGCACGGGAGATGCCCTTTATACCGGCCGCCCCAATATTTCTCTGTAAACCCCATAGAGAGTTTCCTTAGCGGAGGTTTCAGATTGGGGAGGATAAAACTAGTCAAGTTCAACCCAAAAAAGACAGGTCTGTGCGTTCACCGCAAAAAGATACCATTTGTCTTATCACCTCAGTTTGAGAGCACCTCCCTAACTGCCTCAGCCAGCATCGGAATCCTAGGCATCGACATATCGAGCGAAATCCAGTTTCGGAGTCATTTAGAGTTCAAATTGGCCTCGAAGAAGCTCGGTGTGCTGAACAGATCGAGGCAGTATTTCACTCCGGCTTCAGCTCTATAAGGCGCAAGTCCAACCGCATATGGAATACTGTTCTCATCTCTATGCGGGGCATCTCAGTACCAGCTTCTCCCAGTGGGCCGCATCAACCGTTGGGCCACGGCCCACTAGGCATGATCACCTCGCCTGGGAGGGAGGGATGTCATGTCCCTCCAACAGAAAGGGAGGATCCTTTATATTAGATAGAGAGAACTACTTACCCTATTTTCCATCTCTCTCGTTGACCATATTGCAAGACGAACAGATTGAAGGAACAACAGCCCCAAGCTCTTGTTTTCCAAGAAAATTTTCGTCATCGTAGTTCCATCTACAGGTACATAATTTGATTATATTTTTTTTTTTTGGGAGGCTTCAAATCTTTAAAATTTGTAAATAACTTTTATTCATGTGTAACAAAAAACAATTGTGACATATAATTTAGCATATAATGATGATTGAACACACGAACATGTCAAAAATGACATATTATTTCAGAACGGAACTTGCGTTTCCAACCCAGACATAACTTGTCATTGATAGTGTTATTCCTTTTCTTCTTTACTATTAGTTCTATCGCTTTCCTACTTTAACATGAATGCTACAAAAACTTATATCTCAAGTGCAATTTGTAATGGTAAATTGGATTTATTTATTGAAGATTAAACATAGTAAATGGAATTTTAAGATTCTTTGAATATGTTTAAAGACTCAAAATTGGTGATGGGGTCATCTTTGATCCATTATAATACCAAGTCGTGACGGTGTGTTTAAACTTCTACGTTATGATTGTTTGTTTGTATTCATTCTCGCGTCTTTTTCCTGTCAGTCGCTTTGGCGTAATGTCATTCACAGTCAGTCGGTGCTGGCTCGCGCTGATTATCGTCTCTCATTTTATTTTCGGCATTGTAAGAAGAATAACATATATCGTGTGTTATCAACAAAACAATGTTTTTAAATTATATCTCTGTGAGATAATCGACGATAGCGACAATGTGAATGTTATGTTACGATGAATTTGTGGACATACGTACCAAAAGTAAGACAGTAGAAGGTGCCAGTGAGTTGGGTAGGGGATATTTTTGTAAAAATGAGACATGCATTCAGTCGAAATGCAAAAAAGTGTATCAGTGCAAGTAGATAGTGATTTCGCTTTGTTGCTGCCGAGCGGTGTCTATGAAATAAAAAAAATGGAGCCAAGATCGAAGCTACGAAAAGTGATACTCTTCTGTTTATTACTTTCATTATTTGGAATGGTTGCATTTGGCTACTTTTGCCCAGATCAGGTGAGCATTTCATAAAGTTTTGCTTAGAATATATTAAACACCAAACAAAAACCACAGACAAATGTTAAATTAAGAATAATAGTATTAGAATTTATTTGTATAAACAATTGTTATTGTTGTGATGTATAACAAAAGCGTTTAAAAATTTATTAGTATACTGGATCCTGTTTAAATAGTCATTTTCATTATATCATTATAGTTCATTATATTTCATTTAATTACATTTCAACTACTTTGTTTATAACCAATATACCTTTAGTTAAAAAAATTACAGTGAATTTATTCAGGAATGTTCTTGGATTGTCCACATTAATGCCTATTTTGTAATAGACTTATTGTTTTGTTAAGTATTAGTCAGTTTCTGATCAGTGTGTACACTTACCGATGTAGACCGGCAGAGATACATTTGAATAATATTTTAAATTACAATTTCTTATCTTTGAGTTTCCCTTGCCTTGTGTAATGTTAGACTGAGTTATGATTGTCAAGTTTCTAGTACTAGTTTTTTTAAGTCATATTCCCTATTAAAGTTGTTGTTATTTACATAAATAAGCTTCATAAATTACTAAATGGTATTTTTTTTCTGTTAATAATTTATTATTATTAATTAAAATCATTACACAATTTGAAAAAAAAGATCCTTAAATATTTGAAATTTGTTTTGAATTATTAGTTTGTTTTGATAAAATACAAATTCTGTATTTAATCCTCAAATTGAATAGTGTCTTTAACATGTTAATAGACAATATAATTTAAAGTCAATTTTTTATATTTTTGCATTTAACTGACATAAGTAGGTCTTGCAGTATTTTTTTTATAGACTTATAACCTAATCCAGTAAATCCTATTGTTTATAGTGAAGAGTTACTACATCTATAAATTTATGGTTGGTAAATATTTGTAAGCCTACTTAGGACTGTAATGGCTGGCTGTAAGTATTAGTTACATTTCCGATTCCATTTCTTAAAATGTAAGAAGAATGGCAGCTTTATATGATCACACACTTTTTTAAGAAATGCTTTGGGATATTTTGTTGAAGTGAACAATAAATATTTTCACAGTACAGTACTCTTTCTAAGTACACAACATACACACAATGTGCACAATAACGTATAATGCAGTTAGTCTAATCTTATTGATTGTAATCAGTTTTGTACTCATCCAGTTTTTATAACTTGAATTGAGATTTGTTCATTGACTAAACAATATTTTCTTACTTCATCTTTCAAATCAAGCAAGCTCTTTGCCAGTTCTCAGTAAAGATTCATTGTAATTTGAACTCGTTGAAAAATATTTGGGAGCTTTTGTTGTTTATATTAGCCACTCAAGACTGACTGAGGCAATAATAAATAGTTATTCTTATTTATTATTTTTCATAACAGACACATGCATTTTACATTTTAATAAGAAAGTTATATTACAAGTCAAAGGATTATGGATATAAAAATAATGCAAGAATAACTTCACACATCTCACACACAGCAGTCTGATTCCAAACTAAGCAGAGCCTGTACATACACACATACTTAAATATACAATCTAAATATTTCTAAATACAAACATATTACGAATAAATTTCACACACCGAATAATTATTTGTCCTGGGTGGGAATCGTATCTACAACCTTTTTTATATGGTACAATATAAGGCTGTAAAAATATTATGGATGCAGAAACTATTAATTTAATCATTTAAATGTAAATTTACAAAATTTATTTATATTTCATAAAAAAATGTTCATAAAAAATAATTGATATGTAATTTTTAATTCACCTGCATAATACCAATCTGTTTTCTCAAAAAAAAACCGGGTGAGGTGATTACGTCAAAGTTGAACTGCCTAAAATCAGACGGCGACCCAAATAAGAGATCACTAGACGTCAGGAGAAGGTTATTTAACCAGTACGTTCTGGGTTGACATGCCTGCGACTCTATTTAAAGTTGGAGCAAGCCAGGATGTCATCTACGCGATCACTACTGTTAAATGGGTTTTTTAACGAGGTCTTTTCCTCGTAGCTTTAAAGAATCACTGTTCTGTCCATTGCTGGCGATGTGCTTTGCCATAGAGACAAATATTTTGTTGTTACGCAAGTTGTACCAGGGCTTTTAACCAAGGGCTAGACATGGCAATTATTGCTATTTTTAAATCATATGCATGTGATGAAATGATTGGGCTTATTCACAGTGGTTTTTCATGTGATTTCGTCATAGACAAAGATAAATGGTATTAAAATTCTATTTAGCAAAGATTACGCCCGTTTTTTAAGATTTAGACCTTTCGCGAGTTTTTGCTCACCTAATGTGTTTGGTCCATGACAAGTTACAGTCTATAAAAACACCGAGATTTTGTACTTCTGTCACATAAGGTATAACAGTGTTATTATATAACACTGGAGGTAGCGAAGTGTGATTAAGTCTATCATACATGTACCTGCCACTAATAATGATAGCTCGAGATTTTGCGTGGTTGACAATCATCCCGAATGATTTAGCCCATGTACAGATGTTCTGCTGAACATTATTGATGACAGTGACAGCTTCTGCAACTTCGTCAACCTTAAAATGGCGGTACAACTGCAAATCGTCTGCGTAAAGGTGATAACGATAAGAAGTGATAGCATTAATGAAAATCGAGAAGAGTAGAGGAGATAGTACGCCACCCTGGGGCACACCCGCGGTAAGGTTGGAGGATGGAGGATGTCGCTTCCGCGCGAATCAGTTGCGAGCGACCCCGAAGATAAGGATCAAACCAGACGATTACAGAATTGTGCATACATCTCTCAAAAGGAATAAACTTTCTTCGGTTTTGTAACATTTTTCATTGATGATCGGCTCCTATTGTTGGTGGTAATGTTAGATGTAAAGCCTTCCTTGATAACTGGGCTATCCAACACTGAAATATTTTTTAAATTCGAACCAGTAGTTCCTGAGATTAGCGCGTACAATCAAATACACAGACAAACTATTCAGCTTTATAATATTAGTACACATAAATTACAAGTATATTTCCTCTGTTTATAGAACAATTTCTTAAGTGTGTAGTATATTTAAAATGACATACGTAAATTTATATTGCTAACTAAAAAAACTCATCAGTTTTAACTATCCTGCTGTGCACACAACATTTTGCATAACATTTGCATAATCTAAATATACATATTATGGAGTGGTAATAATGTGACATTATATTTATAAGAACTCAAGAATATTCTTGGACCTGTTTGCCAGCTACGCAGATAGCCAATGCAAATCTCATAGATTAAATAAATTCTAATATTTTCTAAATTATTTTCTAAAGCAGTCTGTATTGAGTGCACAAGAGTTCTCCTAGAATCTATTTGTAATACAGAATATTACAGCAGGTCAGGCGATTTAATAACGTTTATTAATAACGTTAAGTGATTATGGAAACTACATTCTACATATAGGACTTGCAGTCATCGTCTCAAAGTGGCCTCGTATTCATACCGTTGTTTTTAGACGAGTTGTAGCCATTTACAAACTATGTTTGTGTAATTATTCAGTTCAAGGTGTTCATTTGTATTTATAAGGCAGATATTCTGATTAATTTCTCTATATAGATATTTAAATTTTTGATAAACATTTGTTCAAACAAGCCAACTGTACCTACCTACTGAGAAATTCTTTGGCGTTTAAACTGCTTTATGTGGAAGTATCATTATCATTTCATTACATTTTTGTTTATAAATTCCGGGTCTTTACGTATAATAATACCTATCTCTTTCAAGTTTCCCTAGACAAAGGATAAAATAGAATGTTTGCACAAAACGGCGATTAAAAATGTTGTACCAGAAGTATCATATATGGTGCGGCGAGTGCCTGTAGGTTCTCTTGTAAATCGATTTTAACCGAGCGATGGTTCCATATACGTGTCACTTGTATGGAGAACCTGTCTGCAGTCCAGTTCACCGCTTATTCAAGTCTGGATAACATCTAGACAGACATGCAAAGTAGTGTAAAGTTTCTGCAAAGCTTATACGAATGATAAAACATTGTTCGCATAAGCTTTCGAAGTCAGTCAATCAGTCACTCGGTACAGCAATAATCTTGCTCCTTATCTGCTCAGGTTCATCAACAGCCTATACTAGTCCACTGCTGGACATAGGCCTCTCCTTAGAAAGGAGGTTTTGGCCTACTATACCACGCTGGCCAGACGGGTTGGTATAGGGTTTGTTTCAAGTTTTCCTTCTCTTTGCAGTGCTGTTGTCCTGCTTAGTTTGATCCCTTAGTCGGCTCTTACGACACCCACGGGATGAATTGGGGTGGTGACAATTTGTATTCTTAATCCGTCACCACACGGACTTCTGTTCCACACGGACACCACAGGTTCTGGTTACAATAAATTACTTTATATAATAATCTATTTATTCTAAATACTTCTACTAGCCATGATCACAGAGAGGTTAAATTGCAGGTACATTGGTCACTGCAGCGCCGTCTCTCATGGAGTGCATAAATAAAAATATCAATACTGTAAATTGTCACTACTAACATAGAATAAGTTTTATGTATTACTAACTAACAAATGTATAACAAACAATATTACTAACAATGAGTCATGGTTACTCCAATAAAATGATTATTATATTATATTATTACTTCACATCGCATGCCTTTGAATTTGCATCAAACCTGGCTATCATTATTAGTCTGTCAATAATCCAATAAAGGTCAGATAAATCTGCTTCCAATAGAATTGATGTTAATTACCTACTTATACATTTTCGTATTTAGTATTCGCAAGCGTTTTACATTGCTTAGTATTTATTGCACATCGGGGTACTCGTAATTAGCCCAATATGACTAAGTACGAGAGTAATCAGTTACTTAAACTTGAATAGAATCAACGGTCAAATTAATGTGGTGACGGATTAAGAATAGAGAATGTCACCACTGGGGATGGAATAAAATAACAATCACCAGTAATAAATCATATGAGTTATAAATCACATAATAACACATGCGACTAATTCTAAAG